ATGTAACGGACATTAGATATAAAAGGTTGTTACCCTTTTTTTTTTTTTTAATCTCTCTTTTGTCTCGTGAGTTTTTTTTTTTTTTTTATTTGTGTTTTGCCACCCCGTCGGACTCAACTTTGTATCGGCCCCCCAATCCCTGCTGGTCCCCGTCTGTCTAAGATCTAAACACAGCGTGGGTAGACAGACCGGAGATCAGTACAGTTGCTTTAGTGACCAGGTATTGGAAGCGAGTCGGGAAAAGGCGAGGCTGGTGATCATCTAACCAAGGGGTTGGAGCGGCACGCTTGGACCCAGGAGGAGCGACCAGGAGGTGACGTCATTAACGCCGTAACTAAAGGATTCGACCCTGGGCCAGGTGTGTAACCGTCACACTACTGAGTGATATGGGCATAACCCTGGTCTCAAATATCATTTCTAAATTATGCTCACATAAAACGAGCAGAAGTGACGGTAGCCTAGCTATCGTTTTAAAGAGATGAGCTCAAGAGATCTTCTCCAGTCCTCTCCAAAATCTACAGCTACAATGTCCGTCTGATCTCTCCTTCTGGGTGAAAGCCAGCATCGATGCTTTGATTCCGGCAAGGAAATACCAGCTTAAACCGCGTTCATCTCCTTGGTTCTCACCCGTATTTTCAGCCTCTATAGCCCACGGGAATCACTTCTTCCGGTTGTACTAGAGAGACACATTTGATTGCAACAGACATCTCTTTGTCTCTCCTCGTAATAAGTGCTATTGTGTCCTCAATGAAGCGAAGTTACTGTTTGCTGATAGCCCGAAACAACGTACAGCATCTCGCAAGTTTGATTCGAGATAATATGAACTCTGCAAGAGTGTGCTGAACAATAGCAAATCCTCAATCCTTCTTCTATTCAATCAATTCGATGTCCTGACTTCTACAGCAGACAAGGTTGAATGTTTTGCTCGGAAATTCTTTTCCAACTCAACACTCGACTTCTTTGGAGTACCCAGATCTGATTTTTCCAATAAAACAGAGACCCTACTAAACTCAAACTTACTACTTTGAATCATTTCTATTATGTTCCTTGACGAGCGGAAGTGACGGTTTGCCCCAGTTTGTCAGCCTGATGGCTCAGTCCTCCAAACTCTACAACTATTGCCTTGTTGCTTCCTGGTTTCCAGCCTGATGGAAGTCCTCCACTGTAGTTCCTGTTCTTAAGAACTCTTGAGAATCTACCGTTTTTCGGTAAAGTATTCGAGGCTCTAATTCAATGCTGAAGGGGTTATCTACCTTACCCCTCACAACATAATCTCCGACAAACAATACGGCTTCCGTTTTGCCATATCTACCGCTGATGTGCTAACGGCTATCACTGAATATGTATATGAAGCTCTTGATAATAACGGTGAAGTCCGAGCCGTGGCTTTTGATATCTCGAATGCGTCTGACAGGGTTTGGCACGCTGGTCTTCTACGTAAGCTCCAGAGCCTCGGTATTACTGGATGTCTGTATCCAATTGTTCCTATCAAATCGTGAAATGAAGCTCGTTTTGAACGGGTTTGAGCATTCCAGATCCTTTCACACGAACGCAGGTGTCTCCCAAGGCTATATCCTGGGTCCTATTCTGTTTCTGATCTTGATCTATGATCTTCCTGATGTCATGGATTCACAACTAGGCATTTATACTGATGACACTATCATTTACTTCTGTCTCAATAGCAAATCCGCCAGAGCCAACAAAGCTAACCTGAGCGCTGCTCTTGAAAAGGGGCTCTAATCTGTGTGCCAGGAAATGGCAGGTAAATTTTGATGCCTCCAAAACGAAACTGGTCTCATTCAACGACCATCGAGAATCTTTCCTGTTCGCCATCAGCATGACTGAGACTAGACTCATGGACAGCAACACACGGTGGCTTTTTGATATCACGTTTTAAACTGACTTAAGTGGAATAACTATATCGAATCAATAGCTGCATCAACTGCAAGAAAAGTTGGGTCACTGTGTCGTACCAAAAGTTTTTAAACGTCAGAGTCCATCTTGCACATTTACAAATCTACCATTCGGTCGAGCATTGAATACTGTTGCCATATCTGGTCTGGTGCCCCTGCTGTTCATCTGGAGGTTCTTGACAAAATCCAAAGAAGGATCTGTAATGTAATCGATTCTGACTTGACATCTCAACTTCAATCACTTTCTCACAGACGTGACGTGGCTTCCCTCTGTCTTTTTTACAAATATTTTCATGAGAACTTCTCTGATAAGCTTTTTGCCTGGTGCCCAGTTTACTTGAGTTTAAGTGTGCTACTAGACTGGCATGTAGGTCCCACCCGTTTTACTGTCGAATTAATTAAATGTAACCGCCACTTCTACTCCATCAGTTTCTTTTCTCGCACTTCCCGCCTATGGAATTTTATTCCATTTCCTTGCTTCCCTGATAACTACAATCTTCAAAAATTTCAATGCAATGTCAATCGCCATCTTCTATCTTCTTGAATCCCGTTCAGCTTTTATCCTTTCCTCGCTTCCCCTTACGCAGTCTTTTCTCCCAACTTCACTCGCAGTAACCCACTGCATACCAGTGGCTTACCCGCCTTGCTTGGGGGAAAGTGTTTAGTACTATGCTGGAATTAAAATGCAGGCTGTGTCAGAAAACCTTCAGAATACGCACCCTCTCTCCCATCACATGAAGAGCCACGATTAAGCTGAAAAGACTTTACAAAACAGGTTAAGACCATGTATAAAACAACTTAGTTTGCCACATCTGTAATAAAGATTTCATTTCACTGGCTCTGCTCCAAGAGCCCACGTCATTTTCACGAGAACCAAACTTCTCAGTGATGGTCATATTCATTTAACGAGTCAACAGCCATCACGTGTCTATGTGTACAATAAATTGATTGTAACTTTTTAAAATTTCATTTTCCGATCGCTGATATTAAATATTGATGACCAAGTAATTAAATACAATAACCAAAAACCTTCTTTTATTCCCCATTACCCACACAAATCTGGACAATTGTTTGACAATTGAATTGCCTCGATTGCTAGAATCGATGCTATCACTATAATAAAAGGAACACTGAAAAGAAATCGCAGTTCATTGCGTGCATTCCTTTAAAATGTCTGGGCCTCCTGAATCGATGCTACCACTATAATAAAAGGTCATTCGTTGAAAATGTCTGGTCTCAACATGGAAGAAAACATATTGACAAGATTTATTACTAATATGACATAATGGAACCTAGAAAGAGATAAAGAGAGTGAGTATATATGCGCATATCTCTCTACAAAACTACTGATTTAAGTCCAAAGTTAAAAACTCGTTCGGTGTGTCTTGCCATGTAGTAAATGTTGACAATGTCGTAAATCAGACCATTGCTATGGTGTAATGAGCTTGATCCTCACTGGGTATTCACACTTCTGACCTTGTACCAGATTAACACAATGTTTATAAGTAAGGGGCATAATACGGGAGAAATATTGCTACTGTAGTATCTGATTAACGCCAGCAAATACCAGATGTCATAATCAAATATAATTTTTGAGCAAGATCAGATCTGAGTGATGACGCGTACTCTAAGAAAGGATGAGGGTAGTGATAGATATGGAAAAAATTTCAACCGCAACCAAAAATTGTTTGAAAAGACTGTCTGATTGACATTACACTTGAATAGCTGGAGATTATAGCTCAAACTTAAAAAATTGGAAAATATATAAGAAAAATACAAAAATATCTGAATAGGAGGGGAGTTCCACAAGCGAGAGTGCAAGGACATGAAGCTATTAGAGTGATAAGAGACGGCTAATTTAGGAGTTTCGACAGTGAAGGGTGAGAGAATAACTGGGATATATATATATATATATATATATATAATATAAAAATATATATAAATATCCACATAAACAAAAATATTTGCTATTTTTGGTACAGTAATCGGATATAAGAAACCCGGATATAAGAGAAACCCGGGATATAAGAGAGTTTTCTCTGGTCCCAAATTAGAGCCTGAGTTAATGTATACAAAAGAGATTTTCTTCTGTCCCGATATAAGAGACTTATTCTCCGGTCCCGACAACTCTCTTATATCTGGGCAACACTGTATATTCTATAGTTTTTAGAATTTTCATTAACATTCAAATAATTCTTCAAACGAAATAATTTTTTCGGATATAAATCAGATCAGGGAAGATCAAGAACAATATAAAATAACTAAAATATTCGCTTTCACCTAAAGAATTGTTATTATTTTAGGAGTGATAGAAGGGTATAAGTCAACGGAGATTATTGACATTACCTTTCTTTGGAATTTTTGTCCACCATAAAGTTTCTGAGAGTTTATATGTAACTAGTATATAAATATATTTACTAAAAAAATATATAATATTGAATATTTACTATTTTGGTACAGTGTATCCGATATAAGCGGATGGAAAGAAACCTGATATAGAGAGATTTTTCCATGTAAAAGTGGGCGATGTTGTAGAAAAGATTGGAGACTCCTGATGTAGCGGTTGAACAAGTCTTGAAGAAAGAAAAATTTGATGTTTGCGATTTAAGAGTCGCGAGAAAGATTTTCGTTTAATTCTACTCGCAGTTCCTAATGTGGGAACAAACGAATCTAAAAGTCATTTCTCTTCACGTTATTTTTCATAGATTTCTGTCCTTACTCCTACTTTTCAGACTTTCGCCTATCTCTCCCTCTCTCTCTATTTCTCTCTCTCACACACACATGCACACAATAAATAAATAAAAATATCCAAAAACAGTAATTATAAATTAGCAGATGGCACTTTCGTTTTTTGTTGTTATGCAGAAGACAGCTTTCTATGACGTGAAATGTGTCGCCATGTTTTTCACTTCGTTTATTTGATGAAACAAGCTGACGCCTGCGCAGAGGAACGAAGAAGTTCGACGCCAACCGACCCCGTCACGAATTTTTGTTTATTTTTTTTTTGGTTTTCTTATTCTTCTCTGTTAATTTCGTAATGTCACTGTTTTAAGAGCAGAACAGGAAAAATGTTAAAAGGGATCGTATTTAATATTTTAAATACTTTTTCTGACAGAAAAAAAAGAAAGAAATGGCGAATAAGAAAAATAAAGAGAAGGGAAAGAGAGCGAGTGAATGGGGAAAAATAGAGAAAGGAAAAGTGTGAATAAGATTGCGAAAGAGAAATAGTGTAAGAAAGGAAGAGAGGACAAGGAAAAAGAAAAGGTAGTGATTGTAATTTCTCATCGGGACATTTTCGATTGATGCTCTGATAGATACATATAAATTGACTGAGATGTATACACATATACACGTACATATATATGCGTGTGTGATTCAGAGAGAGAGAGAGAGAAAGAGAGCGAGAGGAGAGAGAGAGGAGAGAGAGAGATTGCGCACGAGAGAAAAAAAGGTGGGATGTATATGAACAATGTGAGATAGAGAGATATATTGCGTGCTGAAAGGTTATCGCACTGACCCGCATCTCAAAATCTGACCAAATGGCCAAACATCTGAATGTTTTCTTAGCCTGACTGAAAATCTTTCAGCCGACATCACTGCAGAGAGATAAGATCAATATGAACAGTTTGAGATATCTAGCTGAATTGTATGATGATCTATCTATCTGAATTGTTTGTTAATCTATCTATCTATCTATCTTCATATTTGTCTTTCTAAAACCAATTCAGATAGACAAATAGATATAAAATATACTGATATATATACACACACACACACACACACACACACACACACATACAGAGAGGGTGAGATGGATAAATTGTCGTCTAAATTACGCAAAAATGGAAATAACGCTGACATCTCATTTTAACATGTATTTACCGAAATTACACAAGAATATCCTGAAGTACTAAAGAGTAAATTTATCCAATAAAATAGCCATTGACTTCTACCTTCATCGACTTCGGAATCTCTTGCAACTCTTCAGGACGATTTCCTTGTTTAAGTTGGTGAATCCTGCCATAATCCTTCCCTTCAGTTCATCTTTGTTGTTACAAGGAGTTTTGTTGGTCTCTCCCTCAACTGCGCCCCACACATAATAATCAAGGGGGTTGCAGTCTGGTGAGTTAGGTGGCAAGATGTAAAGGGCGATGTGGTCGCAGAAATTGTCTTACAGCCATGACTGGGTTCTTCTGTTTGTGACATTGTGGAGAATCCTGTTGCCAGATATAGGTTCTTCCAGCAGCCACCCGTTTGACTCAGGACAGCACTAACTTCCCACGGGCCTCAAATACCTTCGTAATCACCATCCAACTCTTTCCGAATCTTTGCATTGTCCTCAGATTGACACCCAAACACTCTGAAGTATTCGTATAGGATCTTCCTGTGCGAATGACAAGCTGTACAGCCTACCGTTTCCAAATTTCTGGTGGGTGGAGTGAATTGCGTCATGGTGATCTTTTTTCTCACAGGCGATACCCAAATGGCCCTACTAACCCGTGCAGTCGACAAAATCAAAAACAAACAACGCGCTTGCGTGAAATTAAAAATATAAAATGGCAACAATTTACCCATCGTACCCTGTATATACATGCATACATAATGGCCGGCTACTCGCATAATTTAACCATCTCACTATATATATATATATATATATATATAGAGAGAGAGAGAGAGAGAGAGATTTAAAACAATCTGATATATACATACAGATAGATAGATAGATAGATAGACCGACGATTAATTGATCATTCAGTGGTTCAGCAATTCTGTCATTCAGGTAATTTCTTTCCTATCTGTCAACCGAAGTTCATGTCTATAGCGTATAAGTCATATCTGTTCATCCATATGAAGTAATTTACTATCTACCTCACTCTATCTTCATATTTATCTATCTCAAACGGATCCAGATACGTAGATGGACATATAGATAGATAGATAGATATGAACAAAGTGGAATAGATAGATACATAGATAGATATGAACAGAGTGGAATAGATAGATACATAGATAGATATGAACAGAGTGGAACAGATAGATAGATAGATAGATAGGAACAGAGTGGAATAGATAGATAGATGGATAGATAGGTAGGTAAGAACAGAGTGGAATAGATAGATAGATAGAGAGATATGAACAGAGTGGAATAGATAGATAGATAGATAGATAGATAGATAGATATGAACAGAGTGGAACAGATAGATAGATAGATAGATAGACAGGTAAGAACAGAGTGGAATAGATAGATAGATAAGAAAAGAGTGGGATAGATAGATAGATAGATAGATAGATAGATAGATAGATAGATAGATAAGAACAGAGTGGAATAGATAGATAGATAGATAAGAACAGAGTGGAATAGATAGATAGATAGATAGATAGATAAGAACGGAGTGGAATAGATAGATAAGAACAGAGTGGGATAGATAGATAGATAGTAAGAACAGAGTGGGATAGATAGATAGATAGATAGATAGATAGATATGAACAGAGTGGGATAGCTAGATAGATAGATATGAACAGAGTGGGATAGCTAGATTGATAGGTATGAACAGAGTGTGATAGATAGATAGATATGAACAGACTGAAATAGACAGACATGAACAGACTGAGATAGATAGATAGATAGATAGATAGATAGAAAGGGGGAGAAAATCCCTTGATCAGGAAAGTGCGTTTGGGAATTACCGAAAAGGTGGCAGACTAAAAATGAATTATGAAAGGATAAAGAAGTAAATCGAAGAAACAAAATGGAGGGAAGAGAACAAGAAAGAGATTTAAGAGATAAGTTTTGAAGTGAAGTTCCGGTTGACTCCTACCATCAAAATGTCTTATTGAATAACATCAGACCAGTTTTGTTTAATAAATTCAAAGAAAAAGATTCTACCCTCGTCTTCACTTCCTCCACGACTTTTACATCGACTGTCTGAAATTCTTTGGTAAATTCTTCTCCATATTTTTCCCCAACACAGTTTTAGTCCAAAAGCTTCGAACAGAAACTGGGAAATCAAAACGAGGCTAATGAAAATGGAACAAACAAAGACTGAAATAAAATAAAGGGAAAAATGAAGAAAGAAATAAATAAAAAATAATTTGTAATATTAGGAAAAGAGAAACAGATCCTTGTGTTGCCTTATAGATGGGTAGAGAGACTTTTAGAAAAATATGAAGAGATTGAGATAGATATGAAATTAGATAGATAGACAGATAGATAGATAAATGAAAAGACATATAGATAGATAAATAGATAGATATGAATAGACTGATATTATTCTGGATAGAGATAAACGAACATACTGATATAGATAGAGATAGAAAAAAGATGCGAACAGATTGAGATAGATAGGTAGATAGATAGATTTTAACAGAGATAGACAGAATGATAAGCACACACACACACACACACATATATATATATATATACATGGACAGAAAGAGATAGATCGATAGATAGATGGATATAAGTCTGAGATAGATATAACAGTCTGGGATAGATAGCTATATATATATATATATATATATATATATATATATATATATATATATATATATATAACAGTCAGAGATAGATAGATAGATATGATCAAATTGAGATTGCTGTACGCTGTCAGAACTCAAATTCATACCTTAATTTCATCTGACTACGTGTCCAATTCCAGAATATTGCCCCCAAAAACCAAGCTATAAAACATCTTTTCTAACGAATCAGTAAAAAGCCTACGCAGTTTTCGCAGCTGCCGTTTCTGTGCCATTGACTCACTATTAAGCTAACGCTAATTTCACTCACAAAGCTAGATCCGACCAGGATGGTATTAGAGACGAACTCCTATGGCAGGCAAGCTTAATCAGGCCATCAACAGCGATGCCTTCGGCCTGTGATTAAACCAACAGAAGCAGAGACTAACTCTCGGCTGCTACAATGCGACAGTTCGTGGGATATTCCTCTTACGAGTCGAGCTCAATCGATTACATATGTGTTGATTTTTTCCATCTGTCTATATTGACTACTGCGTTCTGTCATACCCTGAACGAACTGTCGGTCTCCCACGACAGATGTTAAGTACCCTCGAACAAGCAAACGGTCGAACATTGGAGCTTCCGCGAAATCACGTTCAAGACTTACCAACAAATATAGCACACCTTAAAAGTATATTTTTAACACACACACACACACACACACACACACACACACACACACACACACACACGTACACACGTTTCATTAAAAACGACAGACAAGGTACTCCGGTTGAGCTTTTTATTTAATTTTTCTTGTGTTCTAACAAGAGCTTTCTTTTCTGGACAAAGGGTGTGTAAGAACTGTCCGAATGTTTTATATTTCCGAGCGCTTTCGGCTATAACTTTAGCCATTATCAAGGATGAGCCGATTTTCAGCTTAATTGGGTGTGTGCGTTCTGTGTATGTATCAGTGTGTGGTAGGGATGTTTTTAATTTCTGAATACGGTTAGCACATTGTGGCTTTGTTCGTAGTTAATATTGTTAAGAGTTGGCTTTTTCTTTTTTATTATTAAAGCTTCCATTATTTTAGTCTTTTTTTGCAAGTGGATGCAGTTAATATATTTATGAAGAAATATAGTCTTAAGGTATACTATATTTATGGAATAAAGTGCTCAATATCAGAGATATGGCATGCCGATTGCGTCTAGCATGAAACAGACTGTCGCCTCTAAGTGTTGACTTCTATGTTCACTTTCATATATATATATATATATATATATTTTAAAATAGTAGATCTGCCAATCACGCTACATTAGTTTCAACCTTTCGGTATCCTCAGGCGTTTCGAGCTAAAGGTTGAAACCATGGTAGCGTGATTGGTTGATGCCCAAATTTTTTAAAATTAAATGTTACATTTTTATTTTCTTTATACGTGTATTGGACACTTTTTAATACAACTGTTCTTGGAGTAATACTATTCTATCCAATAACTGTTTTATAATGATATATATATATATATATATATATATTAAATAGATGAGAAATACTGAAGGAAAATCGAAGGGACAGAAATAAATATGAAGGTGAAAATAAAAAGAATGGATTGAAGAGAAAGAAGCAAATTTCTCGACAAAAGAAGGAATAACAAGCGACAAAGAAAAATGAACGAAGAAAAGTGTAAAACTGAAAGAAGCCATATTTAAAAAAGTCGAAAATTAAGACTGTAAAAGAAGAAGAAAAAGAAGGAAAGGAACAGCGCTAAAAAGGAAAAGAGAAGAGGAAAATGGAAGGAAAAAACAGAACTAAAAAACAACCAAACAAAAAAGAAAAAAAAAACAAACAAAAAACAAGCAAGCAAAACGAAGCATCCCCCTCCCTCTACAAATAAATGAAATGAAGAAGAAAAGAAGGCCGGCAAAAGAAAGAAGACAGAATGGGCAAATGGAATGAAAAAAATAAAACAAATAACGAAACAAATTCCCACGCCACAAAAAAAAAAAAAAAAAAAAAAAAAAAGAAAAAAAAGAAAAAAAGAAATGAAGAAGAAAAAGAAAGAAAGGGAAATCGGTGAAAATAGTAAAAATAATAAAACAGAAAATGAAAAATGGAAGAAATAAAACAAAACAAAAAATAATAAAGAAACAAAAATAAACAAACAACAAAAAACAAACGAAAATCAACAAAAAAAACCCCAAAACAAAAAAGAAACAAAGAAGAAAATTTAAGAGAACGAAGAAAGATGTGACATAATGAATATGAGTGAAAGAGAAATTTCATAACAAAGAAGAAGAAGAAGAAGAAGAAGAAAAGAGAAAGAAGGAACGAATAAGCATGACAAACTACCAAGGGAAAACGAAACATAGAAAAGAAGGCAAATAAAGGGGGAAAAGCATTAGAGAAGAAAAACAGAAAAATGAAAAAGATGCACACATTTACAGAGAGAGAGAGAGAGAGGGAGAGAGAGAGAGAGAGAGAGAGAGAGAGAGAGAGATTAGAGCGAGTTCTTCCATTATGCTGTCAAAACTTATTTAGTTTGCTAAAAGCGGCTTCTCGTGCGGCAAGTCCAGCCGCCTGTCTCTAAGCAGCTAGCTGACTCGTAGCGTGACGAGAAGACGTGTCACGTGTCCACGAGCTCGCGCTTTGGAGCTCTCTTGCAGCGCAGTAGTTCGCACGTTGGCCCGGGAGTCATTGTTCAGTGTGTCATTTATCGAAAGATCCGAACAATTAAGGACCTTGCGCCAGATTCGTTGCAAACACGAAAAAATAGGTTGATTATTTCTCGCTTTTTTATGAGGTCAACTTCATTGGTACTTTACCTCAAGGAAAGAAAACCTCGAATCTGGCGTAAAAATGCAAATGCAAGAAATACAATTCTTATGATAATGATCCAATTTCTGTTTTGCGTGCTTCTTACAGCTAAACGGCACATTGTAGCGCCATTGTTGTTAGCTCAATACCGCCAAAAAGCTTAAACAATTTCTACTCCGGTTTCCAAGTACTCATTAAGTATTTCTTTTAGCTAAATACTTTCATGGGAATTATTCTGATTAACTTTCCGCTATGGTACTTAGACTTTAGGAATTTAACCGCAGTATTATATTGGCAACGAGATTTCATCGATTTACAGTTGAATTAGTGTTATGGAGTGTTATCACAGTGGAGGCTTGTATTTGTACTAAGTCGGTCCTAAAACAGGTTCGACGTACAAAACGTTAGGAACTTCATATAATAGGTATGACGCAGTAATCTAGTTGTGGTCGCTGATACTTTAGTATCCGACTCAGCGACTCACTGAGCGACTTCCTCGTTACACTTACTACCCCTACTTATTATAGGTGGGAGAGTCTATTAACTATAGAATAGGTGTGTTCCACGATAACAATTAGTTAGACGCAACCGTAAGTTCTATGCTAACAGTTTCTTCTTTCGCACTTCTCGCTAGTGGAACTCTCTACCGGCTCTATGCTTTCCAGCCAAATTTGAAATGCAATGCCAGTCATTATCTACTGTCTTCTTGGTTACTCTTCTATTATTTTCGCTCCTTAATAATGTTTATTTTCTTCTTCTTTCACTCTCAGTAACCCCTTGTGTCTCAGTGGTTTTACTACCTTGCTTGGGGTGAAATGATTAAAAAAAAATCACCCATTACAAAGCTTGAGACCCATTCAAGCTAGAAGATTACATTTGAAATAGCAATGATACGTGTGTTATGAATGGAAGAAAAGGTTGTAGGAAGTAGTGGTCATTAGCTTAAGGAGGATAGATAACGATTGATCCTTGACTTCAAGCGTTCAAGCTTGGAGTGTTTCGAGAATCAACAGCACGTCTAGCCAGTTCCACAAAATGGCAGTTCTTTGCAAAAAGCTGAGTGGAACTTTCTTCTGATGTCTGAGATTCGGGGCCCATGAGGGTAATTCGAATCCGCGGAGGAAACATGTCGGAGCTAAAAAAGTAGGAACTTGTGGGACTAAAGAATAGGACCCACCTTACCATTTGCGATGAGAGTAGAGTAACTACAGGCTTACAATATTGCGTCTGTGTAGAAAGAGGCTCTCGAGCCTGAAAAAAAATCTCCCTCCTCCACAAAACTGTGTAAAGGATTTTGTACTCTATCAAGGCTGAAAAGGGAGGATTGGGCTTCTACAGACCCTTGTCTTCATTTTCCAGTCTCTACGCCGCCTTGTGGGTGATAAATAATTTTCCACCCTACACCCCTTTTCAGCAGTTTGGTTTACTTTGTTTTGTTTTACGGCATGTCAACCTCAATGGGTTATTTAATGCCGATAAAAATTTTATTGCTGCTAATTATTTTGTTTTGTCAAAAATCTATTTCTGGTAATATTTTTTTTTCTTTCAAAAATGTATTGCTGGTAAGTATTTTTCTTCAAGAATTTATTGCTAGTAATAATTTTTTACAAAGTATTTCTGGTATTAAAACCTATTTTTACACTTTTTTAGTGTTTTTACCCCATTTTGGGGGTTAACTATTTTCCCCATAGCTGGGACCCTAACAGGTGCTACCACCCCGGGTCAGGGTGGACCTGGGAACACCAGCAATTAAGTGGTGGTGCCACGCTTCTCAAAACTTGATCAGAGGTCTTTCTGCTGGACGTAGTTTATCGTCATACCCAGGACGCGGATAGTTTATCGTCATACCAAGGGCGGCCCTTTTCAACAGACAAAACGTCGCAACGTCACTGCTCTATCGCTATTTCTATGGAAAATGTTCAGACAAACTACTTACCTCAGTTCCACCAGTCCTAACTTTCACGGCTAAGACCACCATTAGACGCACATTGTATCGAACCATCTTATTTCATTTGTGAGATGTAAGTCCCCTTCGAACAGCTTCTTCCCACGAATCCCTACTTTGTGAAACTGACTCCCAAGTGGATGATTTCCCCGATTACTACAATCTTAAACTGTTCAAATCTAGAGTTAGTCGTTATCTTCTCCACATATCTTCATAAACTGTGCCCCTTAACTCTTACTCTGTAACCATCTACCTTGAGTGGCTCTTGGTCTTTGTACAGGGTGAATATTATTATAAAAAGCACAAATATGGCAGCACCATTATTCCACATCTAGGCATAATCCGACATGCCTAAAAAAGCCTGTCAGGAGGAGTCAGGTACATTCTGGATTGGTTGAAGGAGTCGATCATTATTTCTTTTTTAGTATTGAGTTCTTCTTTAGCAATGGATTAAGTATAATTTGACAAAATATTTATCCAAGTTATATAACACCAAATCGGGTAATTAAACAGTTATCTCTCTTGATCTGTCTGCATTCTTTTCCGTCAACCATAATAGCATGGCAGTAACGATGTAATATCGATGTATTTCTTTTTCGCATAACTCACAGATACTACACTCTGATAAATGGATAAAAGTGCCAGAAAGAGGCACTTTGGTCTTAGGTTCCGTGCGAAGATACTTCGATCTTAGGCAGAGTGCCGATTTATAAGTAAACTAGCAGTATAACCCGTCTTTGCCCGGGTTTTTCATTACTGGGAATTTTTGCCGTTCAATTGGAGCAGTTTAAGTTTAAAGTCAGCCCACTCGAAAATCAATATTAGTAACAACATTTGGGTGCAACTGAGGTACATCCCCAAATGGGGGTTCAACAATTTGAATTTGGGGGGTGGCCCTGAAAAAGGAACTGTATAATAATAATATTATTGTAATAATTGAAACTATTTATTTTTTATTAAAGTTTTATATATATCCAAGAACAGATAGTAAATAGAAAAACGTTGCTGAGAGTTATAATGGACGGGAAGTAGTGGAGAGCCATTGTCGCCAACAATTTGGGCTCAAAACCGGCACTGAAGAATTATCTATCAAATAAAAAAAAAATAATCGAAATCAGATGATGACAACTGTAGAAATGGATAAACATTCGATCACACACACACACACACACACACACACATTTTGAGAATTATAGATATAGATAAGCTCATCACTTTTTATGTGTGCTATGCACGTTTTAATATTTTTTTAACCATTTCACCATAAGTAAGGCACTAAAGCCACTAAGACGCAACGGATGGGGTTACTGAGTGTGTGAGAATAATAGAAAAGAAAATCATTAAGGAGAGAGAAAAATAAAAGAACAGGAATTAAAAAGACAGAAGATAACGATTGGTATTGAATTTAAATATAAGTTTTATAAGTCACAAGTTATTTGATTACGAGTGGAGATCGTTGAAGGCGGTGCTCGAGTTAGTAATAATAATAATCATTATAGTATTTATAGTAATAGTCTCAAGAATTTATACTACTTTTAGCCATTATCAAGGATGATTTTATTTTTTCAGTTTTATTGAGTGTGTGCGTTGTGTGTATGTTTTTTGCCTAATAGAGAAGTTTTATTTTCCGAACACAGCACATTGTGGTCGTGTTCGTAGTTAATATTATATATATATATATATATATATATATATATATATATATATATATATATATATATATATATATATATATATATATATATATATATATATATATATATATATATATATATATTATATAGGATTGGAATAAAATTTCAATAACCAACAAATACTATTCTTAAAAGAGAGAGCTCAATACAGAGTAAAAGCGAATATAATTATTATATAATCGAAAATTTCAACATAAATATGTTAGAATTTTCGAATAAATATATATATATATATATATATATATATATATATATATATATATATATATATATATATATTATTGAAATGGAAGAAACACATTCAATACGAAGGTGGGTTGACAAGTTCATAGGCTGACTCTGAAGGGCTGTTGTTCGAACTGTGAAATCTTGTATGCATTATTTTCAACTCTTCTTAATAATAACTGTATTGTTTATTTGCCAGTAAACTGAAACCTGACTGTTCAAAGTGCATCAAAAATCACAACAGCAGATTTGACGTCATCATCACTACGATACTGTTTCCTAGCCAAGTATTTTTTCATGTTGGGAAACAGAGGATAGTCAGATGGGGGCCAAATCAGGAGTGTGATCAACCAGTTCAAAGCCACAGTCACGCACAACTGCCATTGAAACCAAGGACGTGTGCTAGAGCATTGTCCTGGTGAAATAAGACCTCTTTCGTCAGTTTTCCTGGGAGTTTCGTTTTGATAGCCTTACGTAACTGACTCACTAAGCTGGCATAGTACTCTCCATTGTTGGTGTGGACCTTTTGGATATAGTCAATAAACACAATGTCGTTTGCACCCCCCCATAAAAAAAAATGAGACCATCAATTTTGTCTCAAGATCAAAGTGATGAACCCAACACTCATCTTGAATTAGAAAATGTTCAAAGAAACCACCTGAATCAGCCTCAAAAAATGTCAGATTTTCCCATTATGTGATCAGTTTGATTCGTTTTTGATCAGGTGTAAGAAGACGTGGCATGCACTGAGCAGAAACCTTCGTCATGTCAAGTTTTTTTTTTGTGCAGAATATTCTCATATCTTTTACGGGATGTGTTAATAGCATTGCTTGTTTGATTTATAGACAATCGCCTGTCATCCATCACCATGCGGTGAACACGATCAAAGTTTGCCTCGGTGGTAGCAGTTCCAGGACTCCCAGGCTTTGGGTCATCTTCAAGACTCTCTCTTCCTCTCTAAAATTCATCTGCCCACTTTTGCACTGTTCATAAAGTTGGCACCTCACCCCCTAATGTAGCAACCATGTCAGCATGAATATTCTTGGGGACTAAACCCTTGATAACATCACGATGCCAAATGTTGTTCATTTTCAAGAGAAGTTGCTACATGTTACGTTTGAAGTCTTCTTTGAACAGTCAGACATCAGTTTACCTGGAAAGACACAATGCAGTTATTAATAAGAAGAGTTGAAATTAATGCATGCAAGATTTCACAGTTCTAGCATCATTCCTTCATAGTCAGCCTATGAAGTTTTCAGCCCGACCTCCTACTTATTAATAAATATTGAACATTTTTATTTTCATTTTAATAATTATTATCACTCTCGTCTTATATTGAAATCTTAAATAGAAGATTTTTTTAATATTTGATTTTTGTTAAATTATATCATTTTGCTTAGATTATTTGTTAATATTAATAGCTAACATTTTAAATTTATTTCACTTGCACACACACAGCTATAATGTGTGTGTTTGACAATTTGTCGTATTTTTTAGTTTAGAAGATTTAGTGTTGCGATTAGATGAATAGATTTTTAATTTCACGAAATTCTTTAAGCTATTAACGTTTAAAAATAGTAGCAGTTGCACAAAGAAGTTGAAATTGCTCATTTTCATTTGTGATTTTTTAAAATTGTTCGGCCATGTTTTTTATTCGTTCGGGAAGCACACACGCACGCCGGCGTACGCGCACGCGCATTCTGTCTCTTTCTGTTCGTCTGTCTTTTGCTTACCAGATGAGGCTGAGCGTACTGCACACGAACAATCCCTTCTGTAGTCGTTAATATTTTTAAGCCCTCCTACAGACAAAATCTTTAAAAATACGCGTCCCTCTCCCTTCACCTGACTAAAATCTCAATCCTCTTCCTCCACCCCCGCCAAAGTACCAACCCAGCTCGTAAGAAATGGCGGAGCACAAACAGAAAAATTCGATATTTTTTCTTTTCTATTTTTTTTTTTTTTATTTGGTTAGAATTACTTTTTCTCTTGATATTTTTCATTTTCCCTAACTCCACCCTTCCATCACCGTTTTTTTTTAACGTAAACATAGAGATTAGAGAAATGGTAAAAAGATGAAGAATACACAGAATGGAAGAAAGAAAACAGAAAAACTTTCGACCTTCAGGCGTAAACTTTCGTAAAAGGCACCTCCAAAATTCTTTCAATCTCCTTACGCTTCCGACTTTCAATGCAACACTGATGCAGGACTGCTTATCTGATGCATGTGTGCGCGTGCGTATATTTTTTAATGGCCCAGTGGTTAGAACGTTCGCTTTCTGACCATGAGAACCGGGTTCGAATCTCACCATGTTCGATTATATCAGAAGCTGACTAGAGGCGATCCCACCTTTGGAAAGTGCCTGAAAAACATGCCACGGTTGGACCGAAACCTTGTGAGTGGAAATGGGTAGACGGAACTATTTGAGAGCTAACACGAAGTCTCAAGTCATCGTGACTGAGCGCTGGAGCATACTGGCTTTGTTCAAACTGTTGATCACGCCAGATAATGCGCTCTTTCCCAGAAGCTGTAATTAAGGTCCGATCAGCATAGTTGCAGTATAAACCACAGGTGGACTCTGTGGGTGCTGAACACAACTGTGCCTTAGCAGGTGTCCGCAACAGGGATTGGCTGCCCATCCTGGTATAGTCAGATACGAGCAGCCAGCCATCATCATATATATATATATATATATATATATATGAAGAAATATACTCTTAAGGTGTGCTATATTTATGGGATAAAGTGCTCAATATCAGAGATAGAGCGTATGTAAATATAAATATAAAAGTGAACATTGAAGTCAACGCTCAGAGGCGACAAGTTGTTTTTCATGCTAGGCGCAATCGTCCCGACGATTGCACCTAGCATGAAACAACTCAGTGTTGACTTCAATTTTTTATATATATATATATATATATATATATATATATATATATATATATATATATATATATATGTGTGTGTGTGTGTGTGTTACTTTTAAACGCTACTATTAGTGGATACCCATATTTGAGTAGACTCTCTCTGTTTATTTTAAAAATTATTTCGTCTGGCGACAGTGATCATGAAGCTCTTCGTAGCCGAATGGTCACAGCCCGTCGGATTAAATGGCGATTTCTCCTGCGATGGAGAAATGCAGGTTCGAATCTTGTCAGAGGGGGTCATTTTCGTTACTGGGTATAGACGGAACTATTCAGAATCTCTCGATGAATGTGTGTTTTGCGCATTTCTGCGTGAATATATGCTTGTCTACGAATGTGTGCGTGGGCGTATGTAAATATTTGTGCGTTGTGCGTGTGTGGGTCAGTATGTATGTATATATGAATATGTATGTGTGTGTATGTGTACGTGCGTGAATACGTACTTGCATAGGAATGTGAGTGTAAGAGTAAATGCGTGTGTGCGTTGTGTGTGAATGTGCATGTGAACATGTGTGTATGTCAATATGCGTAATTGTGCGTGTGTGTGAATGTGTGCGTATGTTAATGCGTGCATGTGTGTGTATGCGAGTGCTTGTGTGTCCGTGTGTGCAAGCGCATATGCTAATGTTTTTGCGTGCGGCTGCGTCTCCGGGTGAGTATGTGTTTATATAGGAATATAAATCTGTTTGTGCATACGTGCGTATAGGTGTATGAGTGTGTGTACGTATGTGTATATGAATGTGTATATTTATGTGTGATTGTATGTGTGTATGCGCTGTGGATAAATGTATGTGAATGCTTGTGCTTGCGTAGCAAACACGGGTTAGTGAAAAAAACAGATAAAGCGAACAATTCAGAATATCAATAAACAGCCAAAAACACTTAAACAAAAAGAAAAAACCGATATCTACAAGGGGGCGCTAAAAAATTCTCGGTACGACTAGCAAGTTTTTCTCCACTAAAGATCCCCCTCTTTCTCTTAAAAAAAAAGTACTTGACAGGTTTCGCTAGTAAGCCATCGTCAACAGAAGAATAATTTTATGATATGAGATGTAGATATATATATATATATATATATATATATATATATATATATATATATATATATATGTGTTGCTAGGAACAGTCAGGGATAGATATATATGTTGCTGTAGGTACTAAATCCGTAGTTAAAATAATGGTAAGAAAAAGAACATATACTCAGAATCAATAAGAGAAAGTTTCATGGACGCATAATAAGGAAGGGCAGCTTGGAGAATTTGACCCTCACAGGGGATATCGAAAGCAAGAGGGATAGAAGAAGGTGACGTGTCAGCTACCTGACGAGCTTATGTAAATGGATGGCGGGATGAGGACAGTAGGCTTTGTTGACCATGTTTGCCGTAGTCTCTGAATATGGAATCCAGTGAACTCCGTAATCTGTTCAATATCAGAGTTTGGCAGTGAAGATTCAGAGAAACTAGCGGCTGTTAAGTAATTCTTTAAGTCTTCGATATCAGGTTGGCAGTGACGATATTTTGGGAGAAAAAACAAAATGGCTGCCTTTATACACGTCGCATTGAATATTTTGAGCTTTCTGATTGGTTAACCCTTCTATTGGTAGACTATAAAATGAGTCAGCTCATTTTGGCTAGCTCACTAGTACTTACAGCGTACCCAAAAAACGGCAACAGGCTTGGCAAAAGGAGAAACTCTGCTAAGGATACAAGGAATAGGAATCTGTGGAGAGCCACGTACGAGAGAGAGACAGCGTAGAGAAGAAGAGGAGGAGGAGGAAGAAGAAGAAGAGGAGGAGGAGGAAGAAGAAGAAGAAGAGGAGGCGGAGAAGGGAGAAGAAGAAGAAGAAGAGGAGGAGGAGGAGGAGGAGGAGGAAGATGGAGAACATCTTGTCATCAAAACGGGATAAAAAGAAAGTTCGAATCAAATTCAGTATTTGCGTTATTGTTAATCTACAGTACTTAAAAAAAAATGGCAAATAAAACAGAATTGTTATTTTTTATTGATTGCTGTTAGAGCACATATACTGATGTCCCGACCAAACTGCTGATTCTACCTGGCCCTGAAAGATTGGAGGTCAAACACACACACACACACACACACACACACACACACACACACACACACACATATATATATATACTAGCAGCATGGTCCGGCGTTGCCCGTGCTTGATTCAAAAATCGTACGACTCATATAGCAATCGCTATCACTTGACTTAAAATATTTTTGCCCTTCTTTGCCTTTAAAGAAGTGCCAATTGCCGTGCTGATGTTGCTACATGCCTTACTTCTTGCCTATCTCACACTGCGAATTTTTTCTAAGCTGTGGAGAAATCAGTTACCATATGCTTCTTAAGCCACTATTTTTTCTTAAAATAATTTCCCCCGCAAGCCAAGATGCTAGGGGTTACACGGAGGGAATGACAACGAGCAGACTTTAGTGAGGAGGAAGGATGATGAAAGAAAATGTTTCAGGAGGACAGAAGATAGTGATAATACCAGTAAGACACAAGAGTTTACTGGGAACAAAAGATAACGAGAAGGATTTAGTGAGGATGAAGGAGGGGGGGATAATAAAGGAACAACTCTCAGGAAGGCAGAAGATGGCGATGATAACACTAAGACGCAGGGTGAGCATGAAAGAGAAGTAAAAGGCTTTAGTAAGGAGAACGGACCATAAAAGAACAGGTTTCAAGAAGACAGAAGATCACAATCGACGTTGCATTTCAATTTTGATGATTGTTAGCGACAGGGATGCAAGAAACTGGAAGAGAGTTCCACAGCTGAGAAGTATGAGAAAAGAAGCTGTTAGAATAGAACTTACGATAACAGTTAAAAAGATGAGACCTAATTGCCAATCAAGTAGTACGTTTAAATTCATGCTGTCGAAATACCAGTACCATAAGAATATTTACAAGAAAAGACAGAAAGGAGGCACGTCACGTTATGAAAGTGACTGAACTCGAGATGCCATGTCAGGACCGATAACATTCCAAACCATTCTTTAGATTTTGTCTAGAATCTCGGGATATATAGCCGGAACACTAAACCAGATATGGCATCAATATTCAATGCACGGACGAATAGTAGATTTATAAATATCCAAGATGGATTCTGAGGCGAAAGTCGTCCTGGATATGACGATAAACTACATCCGCGTCCAGGGTAAGACGATAAACTACGTCCAACAGCAAGGCGTCTGATCAGGAGGTTTTGAGGAGCGTGGAAACACCTATTAACTGATGGTGTTCCCAGGTCCACCCTGACCCGGGGTGGTAGCACCTGTTAGGGTCCCAGCTATGGGCAAATAGTTAACCACGAAACTGGGGTAAAAAAAAAAAAAAACATTATAAAAGTGTCAAAGTAGGTTTTAATACCAGAAATAGTTTGTAATAAAATTATTACTAAAAAAAAAAATTGAAAAAAAAAACTATTACCAGCAATATATTTTTGAAAAAAAAAATTACCAGCAATACATTTTTTAAAATAATATTACCAGCTATACATTTTTGAGGAAAAAAATATTACCAGAATATGCACTACATGCCAAGAGAAATTTACAGTGATACATACACTGTTAGAGTGTGTAGATTTTGATCTAGTGCGGACAAAATATTACCAAGTGAGTAATTAAAAAAAAAAACAACTTTTTTTTACGAAAATAAAACCATTTAAGATGGTAAATTTCCTAAAAGAAGTTGGATTGTAATAAAAATATGAGTAATTGAAAAATGGTTCAAATATATATGTATGTATACACAACTTTTTTTTTTTTTACCAAACTATCGCTATGAATCTATTTCAAATATTTTGTTGGCATTAAATGACCCACAGAGGTTGATAATACCATAAAACAAAACACCCAACCAATCTGAGGCGAAAAATTGTATGACACGACACAGTGGACCGACTTTCTTGGCAACAGACCTAATAATTAATTCAATAGAATAACTCTGCTTTGTGGAAAACTTTAGTACGAGAAGGTGCAATGAGTCATTCTCCTGGGTAGAGTTATCATTGGCCGTAATGATGAAGGTAAAAACAGTTTACTATGATGATTAAAAGACAACAGTTTCGTTTTGAAGGTGTTAAAATTTACAAGCCATTTCTTAAGGTCATTTTCGGGAGCAGCTGCCATTTTTATTATTTTAGACCTATCGGACTTACTAATTGATTGATTTGTTTCTTTAGCGGCATATCAATTCCTTATGGGTCATTTAATGCCGAAATTTAATTAAAATATCATTGCGCGATTTGTTAAGGACGGCTAGATTAAGTCAAATATTCGGCCAGAGACATAACAGATCTTGTGGAGAAGACCATCATGCAAACGCTTTCGATATATCTAAAGCCACAGCCCGAGCCACGACGTTCTTATGTAAAGCCTGATTGACAAATTTAGTAATAACCGTTGATACATTGGCTGTTGACCTAGAGAAACGGAAGCCATATTGTTTATCTGAAAGAGGGCCGTATGAAGTGAGATGCTTAACCACTTGGGAGTTGATTAGAACATCTAGTACTTTGCCAAAAAGAGGTAGAAGGTTAATAGGTCGATAATTCGAAAGATCAGAAAGTTTAGTAGAGTTACTTAAAGACAGAAACTACAGAAAAAGATTTTCAACTTACACGTTTCTCTTTGTGATATTTATAAAACATTGTAATTTGGTTTCTTTCAAGTTTTTAACGACTGTTCATAATATTATGTATTATTTGTTTCTGTCTACGTTGGCTTCTTCAAATCTTTTCTTGCTGGTTAATCTAGTTCTCTTGTTTATTACACAGGTGTTTTTTTTTTATCAAATCTCTTTTTGAGGTATTAAGAAGTCTATTTTTTTTCTTCTCGTCTTGCCAACCTTTTCAATTTTCGATTGTTTTCAGTTATGTGTTCAAGTTTTTTTTTTTTTAATTTCCAATATTTTTTATTCATATCATTTGACGGTATCTTGTTTCTCTATTGATGTAAACTATTTCTTTCGACCTATCGTAATCATTGTCCTGCTATAATTGTGCTTGTCCCTGCCTTTTCGTTAGTTCGCACGATCGTTACGCTCTGCCAATACTTCATAAATAATAGATTATTCCGTTTTGTTCGCGTAGAAAAAGTGGAAAAAAAACACTACTTGGTTTCAGTGAGAAAATGAAAGGAAGAAAGAAAGAAAGAAATGAAGATAGAAATGTTTAACATCTGCTAATATCTCATTAATAATGAACTGTTACGATAGGTGGAGCAGTTCATTTATTTATGAACCCCTCCACACCAAAAAGAAAAAACAAACATCAATATAATGATAAAAATGGATTAAATACAAAATAACAAATAGATTACAAAATGTTTATACACATATACACTTCCTTACAATCTTCACGTGCATGAAACTCAGAGTTGTATCAAACGGTGAGGAATAAATATATATTTATCATTCCTTTAAGTATTCTATCCATTAAAAATTGATATTGGTTTCTTTACATGGATTACGGATTGAAAACCACTACAGCCTACAGTATACTTAGCTGGTCAAGTGATTAGAGACCTGAATTTTCTTCAGTATCTGTCTATATTTCTGAGATGAGGTTTCATGTACACTATTTACATTATTCGGACTATTGACCTCATCTTTGTCGCCATATTTATTACAACGTTTCGGCCGTTGTACGCTCCGGCCTTCCCCAGGTGGTTGGAATGTCGAACTGAATCCTTTATTTCGCTCACTGGGGTAGGCTGTTCTAGTTCCACGTGCCATGTTTTAATGGATGTCAGTTATCAGTTATCTCCTGTTAATTTCTCTCTCCAACTGACATCCATTAAACAGTCTACTCAAGTGAGCGAAATAAAGGGTTCAGTTCGCCAGCCTAAAGAAGGCTGGAGCGTATAACGGCTGAAACGTTGTAATAAATATGGCGACAAAGATGAGGCCAATAGTCCGAATAATGTAAATAGTGTACACAATACCTCATCTCAGAAATATAGAGAGAAACTACGAATACTCCCATAAACACAATGAAAAGTAATAATAATGATCAACAATAAATAAGTAATCCGTAATAAAGAGTAAAGAGTTAACAACACTAATAATGTAAATAGTGTGAATTTTCTTGTCGAAATGACGTCTTTTAATCTTCCCATGTTCACAAATAGGCGAAACGTCAGAATTGATCCATAAACCATTTTGTTCGCGCCACTAGCTTTTATTTATGCATAATGTTAAGAAACAGGCTAAAACGATAAAATGTGATAATAGGGTTGAGTTCAAGTTTCCCCGCCAAAAGAAAAGAAAAAAGTACAAATAAAATAAAAACGGCAAATAATTAAAACTTAAAATACTTAAGGAAATAGGGTAAGATTTCGGAACATTAAGATTCCCTCCTCGGTTATCCATCGAAACTGCAATCCCCCGAAATAAGAAAAGAAGCTAATCCCCACCGCGGGTCATTTAAAAGATAGTTCGCGCAGCAGATTGGTTGTAACAAACATCCAGTCGGATGTGTGGAGTATGTGGTCTTTCTTCCTCTTATTCTTTAAAAAGGCCAGAGTGGCTGCTAGCGTTTATTTGGAAGGCGAAATCAGGGGTTGATCTCCCCTGATTGGGTCGATTTGGTGATGGGGAGTATGATGTTGAAAGACCTGAAATTCCCTGAAGAACCAAATCAAAACATCACTGACGACCCCCTTGGACGCCTACTTAAAAGCGTATTTGCGAATTATTCATAAAATAAAAAAAAAAATCATTCCTAGACAAATTCAAGTCTTAAGTTTCAGTTCAAAAATGTTATATAATTTTTCATAATTTACTGGTTAAAAACATAATTTTTCTTAAACATTTTCTTATCAAGTAACATCTGAAAATGATTGCTTGAATTTTAGTAAGTATTTTTTTTTAAGCAT